CACCCGAGTCTCTCCTCCCTGAATACACCCACATCACTTCTACACCTAGCTACTGCGGCTATGACCGCCTGCTTCTTCTTCCTATAACCCTAGCTATGGTGTYGTTGCCTTTCTTCCTGCGTGTAGGTCTCCGCCCAAGTCGCAYCATAGCACAAGCAACCAGCAGCACTTCTGCAACTTGCGACTGAACAACTGATTCATTGTGTTACTAGCTATAAATAGTACYGTTGACTTGTTGTTGCCTTCTTCGGACCAGTACCGGTCTCCTGGGATCTGTCGGCTGCACGTTGCCGTTACCGAAGCTCCGGACTCTCTTGGGATGCTGCTGCAAATTTGGATGCTGCAAATTTGGACTTTGCCGCTTTGGGACTGGACTTTTCTGGCAGGCACTGGTTGACTTTTACCTACCTACGACATTTCAGTTCCGGATGCAAGTGGACTATGATGCTTTGACCTACAAACCCTACTGGACCCCTAAGACCCTGGGACCGGGACCTATCAGGACCCAGTGGGACTAGGACCCAGTGGGACTAGGACCATCTGGGACTGTGCCTGCGTGGACTCGTGGACTGGGACTTGGGACATGCTCACAATGTGAAATCCTCTTATTCCCGCCAGGCTAATTTCGAGGTGACCGTCCTACAAGAAAAATCCTAACCTTACCAGTCTACAATGTCAAGACCTTCCTAGCCCTCTCATAGTAGGAGACTATGTCAGGGTCGGTTTCCCTTAGCTCATCTCTAGCATACCAGCAATCATCTTCCGGCTCCTTATATGCGAATCAGAGCCTCTACTGCCGCTGCGTTTTGCCCCTCCTACCTGACGTGTAGAAGTCTTCATCTAAGGCAAGGACCCCACAGCTTTGCGGATGGAAAAGTGGTTTGCCCACGAAAAGAGGGCAAGTCATTTTGGAAAGTCGGACAGTATTTTTTCCGGGACCCCATCGCAGAGGGCCAAATGCGCTTGGAAAACCCTTTGGAAATCACTTGAGCCAATCGTTGCCTGTTTCCTTTGGCACCCGTCTGTTTTATTCTTTTTTCCTTTTTTTTTTTTTTTTTTTTTTTTTGTGGGGCTCTTCATCTCTATTGGCTGCTTCCTTTTCCGAGACTTTTCCAGAAACAACATGCCCTCCCCCCTACCCTCTACAGTCGACACAAAATTGCGGCTAGGAATCCTCCCGTGAGACTTTTCCAGGCCGCGGACTATGTGAAAACACAAATTGATGTTTTTCCAAGCCGCAATCTTCGGTCTGTGGGGTCCTGGAAAAGGATTTGCGGAAGAAATTTCACCTTTTCCAGGACATTTGCGGCAGGCTGTGGGGTCCTGGAAACAGCTTTGCGGCAAAGTTTTTCCTTTCCGCGGTCCTGTGGGGTCCTTGCCTAAGATGTGATCAATGTCATTTTTAAAAATCTATAATCAGGTGGGATTATAGATTTGCGTGAAGGGAACTTGGTCATACACTACACAAGGTGGCAGCTTTGAAGCATGGAAAACCGAGTATGTGTCCAAGTGTGCCAATAGGAAAGACCGTTCGGATCCCCTATAACACCTAACACTTTCCATGGTCCTCTATAGGCAGGTAGCAACTTATAAGAAATTCCTTCCTCGGGTAGAAACTCCTTGGACTTCACCCACAATAGATCTCCAATAGCAAACCTAGATGCCTTTGTTACTTGTTCGCTTGTTGTACCATCTGATGTTGAGCGTTTTGGATGTTGTATGCAAGTCCTTGCAGATCATTTTCGTACTGCAGTGCAAACTCTCTAGTGCCAGGGTGGCAGGGTGTAATATTTGAATCTGATCAGGATTCAGGCAGGCAATAGGTCACCTAGGACGCCACCTCTTTTGTAGTTTGTCTGGWATTCRWGGCATGGCGAGGTGCACTGAGYTGTTATATGCGCTTCGCCGCTTGCTACCTTGGCCAGGTGCTCATCCAATGGATCTGAACTAGTCTAATATACATGTGTAATACTTGTTGTATCAACTTTAAGTTATTCATTTGTTCAGTCTAACCTTTTGTCTCTGGGTGCCTAGTACCTTATGACATTGTTAGCTTTGAGCCTTTGACCTCTGGACTTCCATCAGTTGTTGCCAGTGCACTACCGTGCATCTCGTATCCTTGTCTCTCATTATAGTCAGTGGATGGCCATAGTCCTTCACCCAATGGTTGAAACCCTCTCARMTAAGTAAGATTGTTCTAGCTCYAGGTGACAGCRGAGTAGAAACTGTTAAGTAAGATTGTTCTAGCTCCAGGTGGCAGCGGAATAGAAACTGCAAATTGACTAAACCTATCCATGACTACCATAACCTGGCCGTTCCCGTTCTTGCTCTTGACTTTCATGTTCATGAAGAGACTGAATATCAGGGGGCTAATGGAATAGGTAATGGTCTCAATGGTCCCAAAGGGGGCTACATGAAGCTCATGTTCTGTTGGTCGACTTTGAGCCCTGGATATCCAGTACAGAGTCATGCTTTATGCCAATCCCTGTGTACAACTGTAGAAGGTTAGCATAAAGTCTTCCTCCAACGGAAATGACATTTGGAGTCGTGGCACTCTCCCAAAATCAGGCTGATGGGATCAGAACCCCCACGCTGCAGGGACTGAAATTCGACAGCCGTGGGATCAGCCGATATGTGACATTTAAGCTTCTGGACCTGCGCCATCTTCCGGACCCCTCACCTCCCCTTGATTCTTTTGAATCAAGATGTGCCTTGCTTGGCCCCAGAAAAACCCTCTCTGCTTTTCGATTAAAGGTACCTCGCTGAGACCTGTATTTTTGTCAGCACTAGTGATTCTTGAAATTCCGTTTTTTTTTGTAATTTGGAAATGCATGGGAATTACGCGCGCCTTAGCAAGCGCGCTCAAAATTTGGCTCGACGGTTAGGAATTCCAGAATTAACAGAACTCGACGCGTCCTTTCACGCATGAATGTTCTCGGCCATGACATGGAAAACTCTGGGATTCTGGGAATTTTGTAGGAATATAAATAGACGAAGAACTTTCTTTCTTTTCCCGCGCCTACTTTGCACGCGGATATGGTGATTTCAATTTTCGAATTAGCGTAGGGCTTGGAAAAACTGCAACTGTTTTGGTGCCCATTTTTTGTTTGTTCGGAGCCATGCATACGAGCTCCATCCTCCTTCCTTCTCGCGCTCCTCTCGACACCCTCCTTCTCGCTCCCATGCTCTCTCTCTCCCCGCCCGCTGTAACTATTTTTCTTTCTCCTTCCCCGCGCTCGCCCTTTTTCTCTTTCTTGATCATCTGAATCTTGGGCCCGTTTCGCGCTATCCTTCGCACCCTTCTTCTTCTGCTCTAAATCCTGCGCTCGAAAACCCGGTCGATCCTCTCTTTTCCCCATCTAGCCAAGGAGAAGCGCCGTGTAAGAGGAGATCCCTTGTACGCGACGATTCTGATTCTGATCAACCAGCGGACGATGATGGTGTCTCCTGGACAATCTCAGGCGATCAAGAAGACAAGGGGATTCCAGCATCTCGAGCCAGCAGACTCGCGAAGATATTGCAATTGACGTTGGTGTCAACATGAACTCTGGCTCAACTATCTGTGCTGATGCGGACACTCTCTCTCCTGATACGCTTGGTTCCTCATTCATCCTCTCCTCCCACTCCTTCCTCCTCCGCCATGTAAACTAACTTTCGTGCATGCAATCAGGAAATCGCATCATTTTGGAACCCCCTGCGCGTCACATATATGACGTACCAGCTTCCGAACCTGCGCCATCTTACGGACACCTCCCCTCCCCTTGTTTCTTTTGAATCAAGTTGTGCCTTGCTCGGCCCCAGAAAACCCCTCTTTGTTTTTCGATTAAAGGTACCTCGCTGAGACCTGTATTTTTTGTTAGCAGTAGTGATTCTTGAAATTCCGTTTTTTTTTGTAATTTGGAAATGTATGGGAATTACACGCGCCTTAGCAAGCGCGCTCAAAATTTGGCTCGACGGTTAGGAATTCCGGAATTAACGGAACTCGACGCGTCCTTTCCTGCATGAATGTTCTCGGCCACGACATGGAAAACTCTGGGAATTTTGTAGGAATACGAATAGACAAAGGACTTTCTTTCTTTTCCCGCGCCTACTTTGCACGCGGATATAGTGATTTCAATTTTCGAATTAGCGTAGGGCTTGGAAAAACTGCAATTGTTTTGGTGCCCATTTTTTGTTTGTTCGGCGTCATGCATACGAGCTCCCTCCTCCTTCCTTCTCGCGCTCCTCTCGACGCCCTCCTTCTCGCGCCCATGCTCTCTCTCTCCCCCCCCCCTGTAACTGTTTTTCTCTCTCCTTCCCCGCGCGCGCCCTTTTTCTCTTTCTTGATCATCTGAATCTTGGGCACGTTTCGCGCTATCCTTCACACCCTTCTTCTTCCCGCTCTAAATCCTGCGCTCGAAAACCCGGTCGATCCTCTCTTTTCCCCACCTAGCCAAGGAGAAGCGTCGTGTAAGAGGAGATCCCTACTACGCGAGGATTCTGATTGCCTGAGATCGGACTTTGAGGGATCAACATAGCTTTCGACGGGCGATTAACCTCATGCCCTCCCTCGCCCTCCTCTGCCCCATTTTTCATCTTTCCCCGCATCTATCTCCCTTCTCGCAACTATAAATTCCGCAAGCGCATCCGCAAAACTCTCTCTCAACTCGCCACCCAGCTTCCGAGAAGAAGTGGCTAGATGGTGTGTGTGGTGCGAATCGAAAAGTCCCGACGGGCTGATTGTAGACTAGCTGGCTGCGCGCTTGATCGCCACGACGGATTGTGGGATCGGGGCAAGCCCGTGCATAACTTAAGTCGGCAGGGTGACGATCGCGATGGTGGAAGGTTGCACGTGACGACCGGGATCGTCGGTGCATGTATGAGGATAGTGATCAGAGTTGGAGGGATGAATGGCTTGGGGATGCGCCTCCTTGTTTCGAATCTATTCTTTGGTGTGAGTGCAGCTCCACGACAGTTAAGCCGGAAATTCTTTTCATCTTCGGATTTCTATGTGATTGTCATCTATGTAGACCCCCGTACGAATAGGGGCCGTACATACGGGCTCATGTGGTAGTACGGGCCGTACATACGGAAAGAAGCAAGAAACAAAAATTGAAAAAGATCTGAAAAACAAATATGTTATGCAGAAGAATAAACTGAAACACTTTTGCCTCAGGGTCATATTGAAATTCGTTACCAAATTTGAGATTAAAAAAAAAAACGTTTTTTTTTTTTTTTTTTTTTTTTTTTTTTTTTTTTTTTTTTTTTTTTTTTCCCCCCCCCCCCCCCCCCCCCCCCCCCCCCCCCCCCCCCCTCTTTCATTAAAAAAAAAAAAAATTAAAAAAAAAAACGTTTTTTTTTTTTTTTTTTTTTTTTTTTCGGGGCTGTACGTACGACCGTTCATACACCTGTCTCTTATACACATCTAGATGTGTATAAGAGACAGCCAGAGTGTTACACAGATTGTCATCTATTGCATCCATTTCACACGCCTTCTCCCCACCTACCTTATGATATAAATGAATATGTATCTATGCCATGAAATGATTACTTGATGAGCCGACGTTTTGATTAACCATGGGATGACGGGGTAGGGGGTGCAAAGCACGCGGAGAACCGAATGATGCATGGCTGCCATTTTCGCACCTTCCACGATGAGTAACCACGAATGTAGATTGTCATTGATGGACTGGTCTTTTGATTAGGCCGAAGAGTTGTTGCGAATGGAATGCATGCGAATGGTTGAGTTATTGGCAAGGGCAATGATGTTGGGATTTTGTTCGAGAATGCAAGAGTGTTTAGATCTGTCGATGATGTGATTGCGGGAGAATACCCCGGGATCTTCAATCCGAAATATACTGCGCATACCGTCTGCAGCTTGCCCTCGATACGCAAAGCCTGAAAGGCTGTCTAACCTCTCAGAAGGAAGAAGGGTGCCACGTGCGACCTGCATGCGTGGATCACTTAACGTGAGTACTGTCCCCACGATTTCCTTATGAAAACTTCTCGGCGAGACCATTAGATCATTACGAATGCTCTCTCTCTCTTTCTCTCTCTCTCTCTCTCTCTCTCCCTGAACTACCTTTGGGGAGATAAAGGAGTGTTCTCACTTTGCTTCGTCTGTCTAAAGTGAATAATGGCGACGGCCGGGAAAACCCGACCGATAGGTTGTGTATTTTCGGTCGTCATGATTGTCGGATTAACGATGAATGATTGAGACCGACCCTTGCGATTGATTGGATTACCATGTGGACTGACGGCCTCAACCCGACTGGGTGTCGGCCTCTCGTATCCCCGCCACGTCCCTTCCCGTACAACGAGAAAAGGACACGTGTATGCGAGTGGGACGTACGAGAAGCTGTCGCCATGATCGGTGGCCGATACTATTTCCCTCCTGAAACCCAGTGCTCAGGGTTTGTTGGTGCTGGCTTTGTCATTATCGATTCACATTTTCCGCCTTATTCGCTGCTATTGTCGTTTAATGAGTTGATCCTCATTCCATGGACAGAAGTGGCGCCTCATTGGCCTAACACTCTGTGCAGCGATTGCTGTCGCCTTGAGCGTTACCAATCAAAAGGCTTCCACTACCGAGTACGGAGTGAGGACGAACATAAGGAACGAGCTACGCGGCTGAGACCGTCCACGTCAGATTCTGAGTTATGCAATGAGCGGCATCGGGACTTGATCTGAAAGCGAGAGACCAAGTGTGTACCCGCTCCCTTTCACGCGAAGCGAAGGGCGACGGCCCGATGGGAAGTTCAACGATACTTTTGGATTGAACATCTCCCCGCCGAGCGTCCCGCGCGCGCCCCCTTGAAACCCGCGCAGTGATGGACCCTCCCCCTTCTTACTAAGTTGGATCGACACAGGGGATTTCGGTTTTGTCCGTGTTCCCACACTCAATTTCCCAAAAATCCTTGGCACACCCCATCTCGCTGTCCTTCCGGGGCCCCTTCCACAATTCAAAACACTCCGAACGGAAGACAGCGCAGGGCGTGAGGTTGCGCGTCACAGATAGGCCAAGGTCACAAGGTGTGGCCTTGGGCTGTTTCGGTAGGCACACACACGGCGCATAAACCATTTCTATGGAATCCTGCAATAATTGTTAACGCCAGATATGGGCTTAGCCCTATCGTGACGGATTGTGATGGACAAAATTGAGGGGTTGAGGGTCTTGTGGGGATATCTTCCTTAATTTTGTCGCCGGTCCTGAGCATGGGCCCGAATGCCGGGACCGACAGGGAGGGGTACCAACGGACCAACGGTTCCTCTGCCTTTTTTTTTTTTTTTTTTTCTTTTTTCTTTTTGGTTATGCTTCATATTTTTGGCCGACGGGATGAGTCGTCGAAGGGCGTCCATCCGTACTCGCACTTGGGGGACTTT